TCGTGCGTACACGATTGTCAATGGCTGCCGATAGCCATCAGCAAACATTGACTGAGTTCCAAATCGAAAAATTAAGGCCACTTTCAAGACGCACTACCCATAAGGTTGCTGAAAACTCCTCGACAGCCCACGACCGGTTCCGCCCTTCTTGGGGTTCATCAGGTAGACGCAGTCCCTGAGTTTCCGTCAACCTTATGTTCTACTTGAAATTGCACGAAATTAGCGAATGTACACTCATTTACAAACTAATTTGGTTTTTCGAGAGACTCACCTGGAACCCAGCTGAATCTCTCGGTTTTGGTGTTTCCAGGCAACTGAATGTTCCCAAATGAGTGTATATTCGCTAATTTCGTGTAATTTGGTTTCAGGTGGAACATAAGTTTGACGGAAACTCAGGGACTGCGCCTACCTGGTGAGCCCCAAGAGGGGCGAAACCGGTCGTGCGGTATCGACGGGTTTTCAGCAACCTTATGGGTAGTGCATTACGAATATATACATGTATCGCGATACCTCGAGTATCGCAGCGGCTGAAACATGAGGTGGCCTGGTGCAGCACATTCAGTTACCTGGGAACATCAAAACCGAGAGATTCAGCTGGGTTCTAGGTGAGTCTCTCGAGAAAAAAATTGATTTGCAAATGAGTGTATATTCGCTAAAACTGCTTTCACTTGGGATTGCGTTAAAGCAGGTGTGCACTCCTCCGTTCTCACTCGTAAAATATTTTCACACCGGAACATCCGAACCTCGTTATTTGCACGAACAAGTCTCATGTGCGATCAGTATGTGGACTGACTATATTAAGAGCAAACTATTGCTCGCCACGTGCTGTTAACACATACATGGTTTGTCAACATCTGTTTATTTTATGTGTTGGTGAGCAATGAGTGCGTCTGGCGAGAGCAGATTGTTTTATTCAGTAGCGCATTATGTATTCGCAGTTCCAAAATCTTATTGGTATCTTTAGTAGTCTCAAATTGTACCGCGTCCCACAACTTACTTCTGGTCATTAATAGGGTTGAGTCGGTTCATCCATCTTTACGAAGAACTAGCCCAGTTAATTGAATTTAACTGGCTAATTCGGACGGCTCTTATCGATATTGGGTTGTGGGTAGGTCATTCGCAATCTTAGCGAAAAGCACTCATTTGCAAACAAATGTGGTTTTCAGTTGGTACGATATTCGAGATGTCGTGCTGCATGTGTATACGTAATGTACTACTCATAGGGTTGCTGAAAATTCTTTACAATCTATTCACGGCGGGTGTAAGTTTTTAACATGTTGTAGTAATCTTCGGAAATTGGAACAATCCGGGTTTTTAGGCAGAAACGTTCAACTGTAGCACCCCTTCGGTGCCCAACTTCCATGCCACCCAGGAGGCACGAGGGCTGGGATACTGCTAGGTTGCCCAAGCCTAGACAGGGGAAGTCGAGAGGCTGAGGTCGGATTCGAACTAATGGAGCTTCGATCAGTAAATTCGCGCTCTTTCCACTGAGCCATCTCGCCCCCAGGCGGAAACAGACACTTTTATTGTGTTCGGCAAAGCGCGCCTTCGATTTTCTGCTAGTCCAATGTGTGTAGCATCGCGATCCCCCCTCTATTTACTGTATTGTCCGTTTCAAAGCAGTTCGTGTGTTAAAATCGGCTAAAACCGCACGCAATCTGGTGACGATATGAATCTGTATGGTCAATAGAAGAAGCCTGTCTCGTCTTATCTGTGACTCATCCATAGCCTTCTCAACGAAGTTTACTGAACGATGGACCATCTTGACCCATCTTTGGCAGATTCACGCGGCTATTCAGTTAGTAAATGTAAGTGCGAAATGTTTGCCTCCTGTTGAATACAAAAGCACTCTCTGAAAACCTGGCGTGATCCGTAATCCGAACGAGATTGGGGGGGGGGATCGGACACAAACGAGATGTGGTCCATCATTAAAACAAACTCAACTAGACTTCTTGGCCATCTTAGTCCCCTCAAGAGAATCAAGAGAACTAAGGTCGTCCTCCGCGGCGTAGAGACAGATTTATCAAGGTACTGAGGTGTAAAAGCATGGCATGAAAGGACTATTTAATTAGTCCAAGGGATAGATGTCACAAAGAGCAAGATATCTTGGCCCTTGTGGGGGTGTTACGACAATATCCAGTGTATTGAAACTATGCGTAGTTCGAACCAGTTCGGAGAGTAAGGGTAAGGAATGTATTTAATGAATCAAAGTGACCCTTCTTTTCAAACTTAGACGAAACCGCCATAGCCTTGAGATTTAATGAATAAGTACATGCAGAATTCTACCATCGCTGCAGCTGTGAGGAAAAAAGTATAACCTGCATGAACGAACACGAGTGTGTTAGGGCAACTTGAGAAAGCATGAAGATGGGTACGACACCATGAACAGAAAGAATACCTCCTGAATTTCAAAGCTCACAAGAGACGCAATGGTTGTATCCGCAACAAGTTTGTTCTCTCAACCTTCTAAACAAGCCTGGTCAGCTGACGACTAGATGGCGGCAAGTAGAACGTCTTATTCACTAGGGTATTGTTACGGAATACCTTACAAACAATAGGTCCATCAGTCTTACTTCAGTTATCCTCAAACTCATGCAGAAACTTGTAAAGAATGGCCTGGCTCCTTAGTACTCAGTTTGTCAGCTTGATCCAGCACAGTTTCGCG